TATATAATCTTTAAATTCAGCTGGTAGGGAGCTCTCAAACCCTTCCACCCCACCGGATCAAGCCCAGACCTGAGGCTTGTGTGAGACCTTCCTCTATGCTCTCAGGACCATTCCACCCCTCTTGAACCAGCCCCGACAGCTGTAGTGAGACCTTCCTCCATGCGCTCCCGACTCCTCCACTCCTCTAGAGCCAGCCCAAGTCCAGGCCCTGCAAGTGTGTAGGAGTATTTCTCGGCTCCCCTGCGCCCACTGGACCTATGCGAATCCAGGTCAGCCACGTGAGTGAAACCTTTTTCTATTCTCTCAGCAACTTCCACACCTCGAGTCCTAAAACAAGCACAGGTGCTGAAGTGTGTGGGAGAGCTTCCCTTTTCTCCTGCACTCCCTTGTCCCTTCCTTACCCAGACTAGGCCTGGCATACAGGGCTAGGGTAAAAATCTGCACCACAAGTCCCTGCAGAGAGACTAGGGGACAGAACCAATCAGCCAATCCAGGAACAGAATATTTTGCAAGAGGAGCACAACAGGTTTACTCACAAGGGCTGCAGCAGGAAGCAGCTGAGCACAGCAGCCAAACCCAAGCCAAGCAGAACTGGATAATTGCAAACTTTGTAGATCTTCATCCGAATATCATTAGGTGCTAAGGTTGTAACTACACCAAAGCACTACAATAAAAGTCAGAGGACAGTGCTATACAAAATGACAAAGAAAATAAGCAAAATATAACATCAGACCCTAAGCCTACTCAGAACAAGTGCAGAGGACACTAGCAAAGAAGAAATTGGGAATCACACAGCAGATATGTCTGAATCAGTAGCATCTGAAATAAAGAAACAACTGCAGTAAGGAATAGAAGAACTCAAATCAGAAGTAACCTCTGAAATAAAAAAAGAAATCTCTGAATTAATATTATCTGAAGTAAAGAATAAAATGCAGAAACTAATGAAGGAAACCCAAAGTGAAAAAAAATCTCTGTATCAAAAGAATTAATAACTGCTTCTCAAGAAGACACTGATAAAAAAATAGAAAAACAACAGAATCCTTTAAGAGCAATATAGGAAAGAAATAGATCACATGAAGCAGTGTCAAAGAGATATAGAGGAATTTAAAATCTCAATCACAATCTTGCAAAACTGAATAAAGTGAAGATAGAGTTTCAGATCTTGAAGATGCTGTCACAGCTAGTGAAATGGTAAGAAAAGATCTCTTAAAAACAACTAGGATGCAGGAAAAAATAATGCATCACCTGCAAGATAAGGAGAAGATGTACAATGAGAGACACATAGGCATCAATGAGAAAGAAGGAGTCGATATAAATGATATGAAAAGAATATGTACAAAAGGAATAGCAGAATACTTCCCATATATAAGGAAACAAACTGACATTCAGGTAACTGAAGCATATAGAAAGTCAAATAACTTCAATTCCATTAAAAACACAAGCAAGACATAAAAGAGTCAAGATCCCAGAAATCCAGCACAAGAATAATATACTGAAAGCCACTAGAGAAAAGAAACAGATCACATTCAAAGGAAAACCCATGAGAATAAACGTCAAATTCTCTACAAAAACCATGAAAGCAAGAGCATAGAACAGAATACTTCAAGTTTTCTATGAAACAAATTCCAGCCCAGACTAATATATCATGCAAAACTCTCCTTCAAGTTTGATGCAGAAGTGAAATATTTCAATGACAAAAAAAAAAAAAACTAAAGAATTTCATGATGACAAAGCCCACCCTACACAGACTACAAAAAGATGTTCTAGAGAGGGACCAAAATGATCACAACTCCATGAATGAGAACAGAAGGAACCCACTGAAGAAGGCAAACAAATGAAGAAGCAAAAGGAATAAACAACTACAGATAAATAACATATCAATTGTAAGTCAATACATCTCAATTATAATCATCAATGAAAATGAAATAAATTCACCAATTAAAAGAAATAGACTGACACAGTGGATTCGGAAACAAAATCCAACAATATGCTGTATACAAGAAACACACTTAACTCATAAAGAAATTCATAGGCTGAATGTCAAAGGAGGGAAAACAATACTACATGCCCCTGCACCTCAGAAAAAAGGAGGGATAGCAATCCTGTCCTCAGAGATACTCAACTTCAAAAAAAGAATGAGCAATGAAATAAAGAAGGCAAATATACAACAGTTAGAGGAAAAATTCAAAAGAAAGAGATAACAATTATAAATATATATGCACCAAACAAGGGAGCACCCAACTATATAAGGCAAATTTAATGAAAATGAAAAAACTAATAACCAATACCACAATCTTAACAGGAGACCTTAACGCACCTTTATCCCAAAATGATTGGTCAAGCAGACAAATCATAAGCACAGAAGTTGCAGAACTCAATGAAAGCTTGGAACAAATGGCATTAGTGGAGGTATCCAGAATGTTCCACTCAACTACAGCTCAGTATACATTTTGTTCAGCTGCACATGGGTCATTTTCTAAAATAGATCACATATTAGACCATAGGTCATGCTTAAGTATATGCAAGAAAACAGAAATTTTCCCATGTATATTATCTGACCACAGTGCAAAGAAATTGGAAATGAAAGAGAAAAAAAAAAACTAGAAAAGCCACCTGAATACGTAGAAAGTAAACCACACCCTACTCAGCAATCAATGGGCTACAGATGAAATTAAAGTAAAAATTGAATAATATCTACAAATCAATGAAATTTCAAGCACAAAATACTGGAATTCATGGGATACCATGAAAGCAGTTCTCATAGAGAAATTCATGACTTTGAACCCATACATTAGGAAAACAGAATGGGAACAAATAAACACACTAATGCTGCAACTCTAACTCTAGAAAAGGAAGAGCAAACCAATTGAGAGCCCAAACACAGGATGAAATCATAAAAATTAAAGTAGAAACTAACTCAATTGGGGTGAAGGAAACAGTTCAAAGCATTAACAACTCAAAAAGCTGATTCTTGGAAAGATTAAATAAAATTGATAAGTCCTTAGCTAACTTTATCAAAAAGAGGAAAGAAAAAATTCAAATAGAAGCCAAAAGGAATGAAAAATGTGTAATTACCAGTGAACCAGTGGAAATTCAGAAGATTCTCACTAACTGCTTTGAGAATATTTACTCTCATAAAATAGAAGACAGACGAAATGCACAGGTTCCTAGAAATGTACAAATTGCCAAATCTCAATCAAGAAGATATAATAACTCTCAATAACTCTATAACAGCCATTGAAATATGAAATGTAATTTAAAAAACCTACAGACAAAGAAAACTACATGTCCTGATGGATTCAAAGTTGAATTCCACAAGAAATTTACAGAAGATATAATTCCTATACTCCACAAATTCTTCAGTGAAATTGAAAATAAAATAATCCTCATAAAATTATTCTGCAATCAATATACTGATACCAAAACCAGGGAAAGACACAACTAAAAAAGAGAACCACAGGTCCATATTCCTCATGAACATTGATGCAAAAATCCTTAATAAAATTCTAGCAAATAGAGTACAGCAAATCATGAAGATCACACACAGGTGACCAGGTGGAATTCATCCCAGGGATGCAAGGATGGTTCAATATACCCAAATCTATAAATGTAATACACTATATCAATAGAGTGAAATCTAAAAACCACGTTATCATCTCAATTGATGCAGAAGAGGCTTTTGACAAAATCCAACACTCATTCATGTTCAAAGTCTTTAAAAAAATTGGAATAGTTGACTGCTGCTTCAATCTGATGCAAGTCATTTATGACAATGCAATGGCTAACATAATTCTAAATGAGGAAAACTGAAATCTTTTACTCTCAGATCTGGTAAAAGACAAGGATTTCCTCTACCACAACTTTTATTCAACATAGTTCTGGAATCATTAGGTAGAGCCATTAGACAACAGAGAAAATAAAAGAAATAATAATAAAGAAGAAGTTCTGAAAAAAAAAAAAAGAAGAAGTTCCGTTATCATTATTTGCAGATGACATGAGTTTATTTGGAAGAACCAAAAACTCCACCAAAAAGCTATTACAATTAATACTCAAATTCAGTAATATAGCAGGATACAAATTCAATATCCAAAATCAATAGCATTCCTCTACACTGATACTAAACACACTGAGGGGGAAATTATTGAAATAATACCTTCTACAATAGCACTGAGGAAAATGAAATACTTTGAAATTAGTCAAATTAAGAAGTCAAAGATATTTTCAAGGAAAATTACAATACTCTGAAAAAGAGATGATAGAGGATTTCACGAAATGGAGATTTATTCCCTGTTCCTGAATAAGAAGAACCAACATTGTGAAGATGGCCATACTCCCAAAATTGCTGTACTGATTTAATACAAACACTATCAAATTACCGCAAACATTCCTCACAGATCTAGAGAAATCATTCCTAAAATTTGTTTGGAATCACAAAATACCTAGAATAGTAAAGGCAATCCTGGGAAACAAAGGCAAAGTAGGAGGCATTACATTCCTGACTTGAAATTATACTACAAGGCTACTCTGATAAAAATCAGCATGGTGCAGCACACAAAATACACCTGGGTATCAATGCGATAGATTATAAGAAACAGACACCTATACAAACATAATCAACCACATTACATTTGACAAAGGCGCCAAATAAGCTCACTGGAAGAAAGAAAGCCTCTTTAAAAAATGGGAGATGATCGGGACTGTGGGATGCTAAATAGACCCACACGGCAGGCCTGGTGAGTGAGTAAGATGACCCGGGGCTGCGGGATCCTGAAAAGACACAGAGCACAAGCCCTGAGAGTGAATGAAAGGAAGCAGGGCCCGCTGGACCCTGAATAGACCCAGAGCACAGGCCTGGTGAGTGAGGGAGAGGACCAGGGGCAATGGGATGCTAAACAGACCCAGAGCCCAGGCAGAGCAAGTGAGTGAGACTGCTCAGGGCCACAGGATCTTGAATAGACCAAAGCGCAGGTCCAGGAAGTGAGTGAGATGATCCAGGGCCTGTGGATCCTGAATAGACCAAGAGTGCAGGCGCAGCATGTGAGTGAGACCACCCAGGGCCCGCAGATCTT